TGGTCACTGATCTTAATAGTGAAGGGGCATTATTGATGCAATTTGACTCACCAGAAGAAGCTACTGTTTCCATGGTTCATATGCGATGGCATCGTAAGAGAAATAATAACTTTATTCTGCCCGCATCCAATGTTGGTCCAACCAATGTGCTGATGCATACTGAAGGTGCAAGACCTACTTCTGCCCTAACACATGTTGATATGAGAAATTTTTACTCTTCTAATAGTATGATTGGATCACCTCATGCTCAGAGAAACCTTGAGAAGCCATCTGACAGTTATATGACAAGGACTTTGGGGTTGTCTTCTTTGCTTTTCCAGTTACGTGCAAAATATAATATCACGCATCTCCAAGGTTCTGAGAATCTTAGACCTAGTGTTTCTATGAGAGACCATGAACAAGTACCCTCAAGCATGCTTTCGATTAACATTCCGAATATAAGCCCTACATATCTCACAGATGATGACCTCTTGGCTGTTTGCAACTTTGCCATCAACCAGATGGGGTGTGTTGTTCGGTTCAGTAGAACGAATACGCCAATGGGTGCGCATTGGTTTGTTGAATGCAACAGTGTAGATGCAGCAAATACTTTATTGAGGAATCTTCGTGATTGCCCTGGAATTTTCTTCCAGATAGAATTCAGGTTTGAAATTGCCATACATATAGTTTCACAATAGTGTTTACTTTTGGATTTGTTCTTTTCCATTCTATCACCTAGATTTTTGGACACAGGTTTCAATGCCTCTCTCTTTCTCCATGTCTGATAGACAATTTTCTCTCTGATATTTCATCCAAGACTCATTTTATACTTAAGATTTAGGGAGCTTCCAACCGTTGCTACTGAAAATTGTTAGTATTCAAATTCTAGGCAACCTGAGTAAAATTTAGGTTTCACAAAAAATTGTCAAATGTTGCTAACAATCTCAGGTATTCACCAGGAGTAGATTCTAATTTTAAATACTCCATCTCTGACTTTCGTACCATTCACCCCCATGAAATCTATGATCGTCTGTTTAGCTCTGTTCCAGGAACACTCATGTCTCATCTTGTATTGTGTCTCAAATCTCATTAGGCTTTGTAGCGAATTTTTGCTGCTTTGGTATGGAATACTTGCTGGGAGGTAGCAAGGGTGAAAGGATTTACTTGTATTCTGGAAGTGTTGGGAAGTTTTGTTTTCTATGTATTGAGCCTTGATAGATCATTTCTTTCAAGATGATTTTATTTCTTCCCATTTCTAGGTTCCAAATGTTCTCTCTCTTTTTATCCCCTTGTTCTGATTTTCCGTCACTTCGCCTAGCAATGGTTTGTGTCGTTGCCTGCTGACCTCTGTGATTTAAACCATTGTTTAATTATTCAATTATCTGCATTTGTGTTGAGTTAGTACCTACGAAATTGAGTTAATGCTTGTTGATTATTCAGCTAAGAAGCAAGGATACAGATATGTAATTTGAATACGAGACGATATGGGTACGTCAATACGACTTTTAAAAAAATTAGTATCGCAAATACGTATTATAAAATTCAAAATAATTTCTTTAATATAAAAAAAATTAAAACAAAAACATAATAAAAATAAAATAAAATACTAATGCATTTTATCTTAATCCTTAATTGTCCCAAATTCATTTTCTTCAATATCATCAACATTAGCTTCTTCATTATCGTTAAAAATAACTCTCTAACTCTTGACTTATTTAATGATAGATTATCGACCTTGACCAATCCAACACCTTCAAGAGTATCAAATGAGTCTCTGGCAATGTTCCACATTTTGAATTCTCCTTTTTAATAGAAATCTAATTTTCTTGATAAAAGACGTAGATTACTATGAATGAAAATCAATTCTTCGGTTCGTTGTGGAGTTATTCTATTCCTTCTCGTAGAGTGCACCAAAAAGTATGTACTCTAATTTCTTTCAGCACAAGATGAAAAAAAAAAGTTGCACAAGAAATTTTAAATCAATGCTTTGAAGCAAAGATGCATGTGAATCATGAAATAGCTATGAATCCATATTATACCGATTAGCGATAGAATCAAACTCACCAATAACATTCTTCCCCACGGGTCATGACGTATCGAATACGTATATAAAATAATTAAAAAATACGTAGGACGTATCGAAAAATTTAAAAATATAAAATAATTAAAAACATGTATCCGGTACACATCGGAGGGTATTGGAGAGTATCCAACTTAGATACGTACTGGATACGGGTACATAATGAATTTACAAGTACTTGTACCTCTTAGATATTCATTATTGACCATGGCATTAATGCTTGCATCCACTGTTTCTTGTAAATATATTGCTATCGGAGATATATAGTCACCTTAGGAATTGACTTTTGTATATCCTCCCTTGCACAGCATATTGTAGAAAATTAGAAATATCAGTGTTGCTGTCTAAAACTTAACTATTGTACATTTGTTTTGAACAGTCACTTTGAAAAGCACCATTTCACTCCTCCCATTAGACCGGAAAACAATGCATCAGAGTCTACATTACCAAAAACAAATCAAGAACTTCATGGGTCAGGGATGCAAACTGCAGAATTCCAGTCAAATTGGACTTCTGTTAGCCATGCAGGAATGTTGGAAGTAGGAAGAACTGGTGCTGCTGAACAAAGATGGGCATATGGGAAACCTGAAAATATTCCTCTTGGACAAGTGAGCTTTGCATCTAGACTGGCACAAACTCCAGGAACATCTATTGCACCGCAACAGCAACTTCATGGATCTACGAATGTGCGACCTGTCTATTTGCCTCCTAACAGTTTGTGGTATTCACATGGGTTGAACAATCATCGGCCTCCAACTTCGAATCCAATCCCATCAGCTCACCTTGATCTGCCTGCCCCACCATTTTTACCTGCTTCCGTGACTCCACTGTCACAGATAGATGGGAGTTCTATGCCGCAATTTAATAATATGTTTCCTCTCAATGGTGTTCCTCCTCCATTGTCATCTTTGGCACCTCCTCCATCTAACATGCCTTCTCCATTACCTTGCCAGCCCAACTTGCAGCCCCCATTACCTCAGCTTGATTTTCAGCCTCCTTTACCTCCATCTCCACCTCCTCCATCCCATTCCCAGCCCCCTGCACTTCCTTCTCCCCCTAGTTCTCCACCTCCACCATCTGAATCTGCTGATGTCGAATGTTCTAAGTTGTTCATGAACTATCCCTGGCGGGGGATCTTGAGCAAAAGTGGTGTCCATTACTGTGTTATATATGCGCAGAGGGTAGATTCTGATATTTGCAACTATTCAAATACTATGGCTGAGCCATTGGGGTAACAATTTTATTTCTGGTTGATCTTTCTGTAGACTGGGCTAGAAAAAGATACCTTCTGATAATTTTGAATGATGCATTTGCAGATGGCCTGCTAAATTAGATATGACAAAGCGCACTGATTTCCGGCATGTGAAGTCAACATTTTCGAGAATCCCACCTCACAAAGTGAGTCTCTCTCTCTCTCTCTCTGTGTGCGCGCACAGCATGCGCGTGCACGTGTTGAGTTTGTGCTCTCCAAATAACGTGCCTCTTTAAGTTATCGTGGGTTCACTCTTCGCCCTGTAAATTTTAGTTTGCTCTATTGATTCGGCTTGTCACAGAAATTTGTAATTAAATTTTCTTCTAGGAAAGCTTTAAGTTGGGTGTATCAACCCACCCGAAAACAATAGTTGCCCCAGAATCCACAATTTTTAATTGGAAAGAATTATTTTAAGTTTATGATAGTGGGAAGAGTTATATTGCATTAATGCAATGACATATGATAAGTCTTGTTGAGACCTGAAAATTACTTTTTAGAATAATTTGTTCTATTTGCAAAGTTAGTATCATGTGTTGGTGTAACTAGAGTTTCTATGGTTCTATGATATGTGTCAAGGAGCTTGAATAAGATTCCGAATATTATCGAAGATTACGATTATATTAT